AATTTGATTAAAACAAGGAATAAACTTAAAATTCCAGCACTCTAGTATTTTAAGAACTAAAGAGTTTTTAAAAAACAAATGCTCAAAAAAATTAAAATAGCAATTTACGAAAAATACTGAAACTGAATTTCATTAAAAAAATTTTATTCAAATGTTCTATTTTATAAAGTAGATTTTTATTTAGTTAAGTAAATTTCAGGGAAATAAATATCTGTGCATCGACATAATTTGAAATAAAACCACTGTGAATAACAAAAGAATGTAACTCAAATTTTCCTTAACCACACATAGTTTCTTGCTCTTTTAATAATTGATAAGATTTGCCTTGAAAAAAAAAACTTAAACTATTTCAAGGTTAAGGGGCAATTTCATTCAACAGTAACAATTACTTCGTGTTGTCGAAAGTGAGCCGTTTAGCTTGCACAGTGTAGACAGACTACTCAATCATCGACGCGTTTTAAAATTAGGTACTTGAATTATAAGTGCTAAACACATTGAATACATTTGAGGCAACAAGCTCTATGGCTCTGCTTTGCCTTCAACCTCTACTAAACCGAAAATTTTCCATACCTCGCTTTTAGCGCCTTAGCACCTGTATCTCAACCCGTTTGTATCTACATAGCGTCATCTTTTTTTAAGCAGCTTTCCTCTGCTTATCATTAAACATTTTAACAGTTAGTGCATTTTTCTTTAAAATTTAATTTTATTGTCAATTACTTTAATCATATTTTAAAATATCCAAGTTAAAAAATTGAATTAAATCATGTTAGGGAACTTTCTATTCCTTTTAAACAAAATCTTTATGTTTATAAATTATCTATTTGCTTGTAGCCGTTTGTACTCAACTGTTTATCCTTCCAAAATTTTTTGTTTAATATACATATCTCACTCTTCTGGTGCATTGCAATAATTATAAATCTTTCCTATTTTAGGCTTAGTTAAACGCGACGCCAACCACACCAAATAAGTATACGAAAGTTCCGATCAAAATAAACGAAGGTGGCGGCAATCGCGCTCAACGGGGCGTATGAGCAACCGTGACAATGACATTCACATGCTTACTTATGTACGTGTGAGTGTATGAATTCTTCGCAGCGATCGAGTTCGAACAAGCGCCCGTCGGAGCGCTGAGGTTGAAGTTAAAAAATGTATTGTGGACGGAGTTTTTAATGGCCCATTCTCAAATTTATACAGTCGTGACTGAATAGTCTGATGTACATTTTTCAATAAAAATAACTGAATAAAAATAGTTCCAAATTGAAACAAAAAAAAATCACTGGTTTATAAAAATGTACCTTTTGTTTATAACAAATAAGGCCGAAAAAATTCATCGTATTTCTCATTGGAAAGCTAAGAAAAAAGCGTAAACTTTAGAGGTATTTTATTCGAACGAGTGAATTTTGAAAATTCATAACTCCAAAATTTTTTACATTGTGTCGAAATAAAAAATACATACATACGTGTCTAATATTTTGCCTCAAAGAACAAAAAAAAAATGTTTCGTACGAAAAAATTTTTGAACGTCAATTTTGGATGGAATGACCCACTGTTTGTAAATACAAGTCCTAATTGATTAATCTAAGAAATATTGTCAAGAAAAGTAAGCATATATTAACCCACAATTTTATACATACATACATATATACACACATGCATTCCTACATACATATGTATGTATATCTAGATACATAAACATTGGGGTGGCCCTTAAAAATCAAATGAACGATTCTTTTGAGGCTCACCCCTTCAATCGGTAATAGCACGGTCACAGATATCCCATACAAGTTGATATCTTCGACTATGGTAGTATCGATTTTGGGTATTAGATGAAAAAAAAAAAATTATATAAATTTTTCGAGCCTTCTGTGCGACACGCCTTAACAGTCTCCAATCGGCACCAAAATTTATATGTGATATTTTCGACTATAGCAGCATCGACGTAGGGGGGGTTGAGGCTTAGGAAATCTGTTGTAAAAATTTGCTTCCCAACATTTAAGGACCACCCTAATATACATGCATGCAAACACATACAATGTACTATGCCAACGTGCAACATCTATGTAGATAAGGAACGTGTTTTTTTTTCTCGTAAAGTATTTCGTATGCAAATGGCACTTATACACTAGACACACACTCATCCGTATTCATCTTAGTCTTAGAATTATGCGCCGCACACACAGATCTATACGGCGGTTCGCTTCCCTCGGACGCAGGTGTCCTTTGCGTGGGTGAAAGCATACGATTACCGGCGGCACTTGTGAGAGTTTCTTCGGAACTTCTCGCGCATGAATTAGCTGGCTTAAAGCTTTTGTAGCTGTATGCGACCACCGGTATGCTGTGTGAATCGACGACATCTGCTTTTGTGGCCTCACCCGCATTCGCGTCAATTTCTTCCATTTCATTGCAGGTTATATTCATCGAGTGTGTTTGTTGTTGTGAGGAGAGCAGTGGTGAATTGCGTTCGGAACTCGAGTTAAATTTATGTACAATGGCGGTGGTGTCACGAGTCATTTGCAGCAAGCTGACTTGCTCCTTGGAAGCACTGCCGCTGCTGTGCGTTCGGTAGTAGCTGGGCTGGCGGTTGATGCGGGTATGTCGCACGACGTTGCCGTCAATTTGTGTAACAGCAGTCAGTATGGACGGATTTCGCTGTGAGTCAGCCCTGGAAGTAAAATTTGTGTTTCAGTATTTTCTAGTCAATTTCCCTAATGAAGATTTTCAGGGGTCGCGATAATCAATTATGGGCTGGTGTGGGAAATTTACAGCACAATTTCAATATTTTTAATTCAAACTTAATTTCACTTGACATTGTTTATCTTTTTTTTGATGGTTTAATGGTAGGACAAGTTTGGGTTTACAAGTACTCAATTCCATTTAAGGCACGACCACACAGAAAATACGATTTTTTTTTTTAACCTCTCACAACCTTTAGAAGCCTACACATGAACAAACATGCATACCTGTTTAGGCTGTAGGCGGCATTTCCACCTTTTTGACTCGCTTTTCGTTTCATAGGATGCAGATGGAAGGCGCCGTAAATCAGCGGATTCACCAAGCTGTTTGACATGCCAAAAACAAATATGGCCGAAACTAATCCTTCGCTGAGCTAAAATTTTAATCAATTAATTCTCTAATCCATACAATATTATGACCGCTAGGCGGCTTACCTTTTTATCTGGATTGAGAAACATTAGCGTAACCATCACAACATAATATGGTGTCCAACAGATGAGAAATGCAATGATTATTACAAACGAAATTCGTAGCGACTTCATTTTAGCCTTGTGAATTATACGCTGGCGATTTGTCTGCATAGAGTTTACGCTCGAATTGGGTACCAGCTTTGGACCGAGGAACATTTTTTCACTGCCTGTAATAAATGAGCTTATTAGCACTCACACCTCTCTCTTGGTGACACACCGGTGTGGTGCGTCTACTTACTTGAAAT